AGAAATAATTGAAAATTAGAATTCAGAAAAAGCATTTAGCGCACCCATGTTCCTTACGATGGATCAAGATCATTAAGTTCATGTACGCTTTGAATGAAAGAAGTATTAATGGTCTTATTGCTCTATTGTAATACGATCTCTATGGTCGAGTGGCTTGCACACTGGTTTTCATGGTGTCGCCGTCTCTGAAGTCCCGGGCTCGATCCCCAACCGGATCAGTGTAGAAACTAACTTTTCTATATTCTCTCGGGTACCGTAGTTGTTTCCGAATTCCATAACACAAGCGCTTTAGCTACTTACTTTGGCATCAGAGCAACGTATGTGATGTTGTCTAATATTTTTTTATTTATTTATTAATAGAAAGAAGAAACCGTTTCAAGAGATAACATTCATCGGTGCAAATAATATTTCTTCAATTGCACATCTACTGTAGTTCTTGTCAATATCCAAGTCAGTCAATGTCAACGTTTAGTACTTAGCAGTAGAGATCGTTGTAAAAGAGTTCGTTCAGGGAGTACTGCCACCTTATCTATTTCCGCCGCCAAACAGTAATATGTGCTTTACCTGTTTTGAAAGGTAAGGATGCTGGTGACATTATAGGCACGAGCGACTTGTCAACTTAAGTCTCAGGGTGCTGTGACAGTGCTCCTCCAGTATGATTTAGAGTTCCGATTGGCAATTGTCATGGATGGGCATATCGCCTACCATATAAATCCAAATAGTTATTGAAATGTTGAAACATTCTGATACAAAAATAACGACAAATATGTCCTTATTAACAAGTCATAACGATTTTTTGCAAACCCTGACCTAATTAAAAAAAATCTTGTATATCTCTGAACAAAAAAGCACGAGTATTTGTGGTTTCGAGTCGACAGACGAATACGAAGGTTATTCACTCATGACCGATTTCGTGAGTTGCAAAAATAGATTGAAAAGTCTACGGGCTCTAGATCTTTAACCTCATTGTGAAAAAATGGCGCAGAAACAAAAACGTACGTGTTACTTTTAGATAAACACATGTAAACTTTATTTAAAAAGATACAAAGGTCTGAAACATATTACTAGCACTATGGTGTCATACCAAAACACTGCAAGTCTCAATGTAATGTTTTGTAACTTCCTTACAACACGAATCTGTCGGCTATTATCAATGCAAAACAAATTTATTCGTTTTTAATAGGAAAAAGTACAATTAGGTTGATGATATGTACGAATGATCGACATTTTAAGGGAAGTGTGTTTTTGAATTTGAAATAACTTTTTTGTTTTTAAATACTTATATAATATTTTTAAAAATATAATGACAATATTGATTAAATTTCTTGACAGGTAAGAAAGATTATGCTGTAGTATGTTTCATAAAAAAACAAAAATTTTTGCTAAAAAAACCTAACCTAAAATTTCTTTAAATATCTAGTAATGAACACGAAAAATCCACTAATTACCTATAATTTAATATTATTATTACTAACCAGGAATCGACACTCACGAATAATGAACTCCAATTTTTTTTTACACTTACCAATAAGACACGTGTTACAATGATAGAAAATTTTGTCCTAAATCATATTAGAAATTAATAAAAAAAAAGATGTTGAATAGTGGTGCTTGTTGGTCACTGGAGCCACCATACCTTTAAAACCTAATAAGTAAGTTTAATGTTAGTATAATTATGTTGTTAACCTGAAAAATTACAAGAAACAGAAAAACCGTTTTGCAGCTATTTCTCAAATGCTGTCTTCGATATTAGACTGTATTGGTTTGACACGGTAGCAAAACTAAGGACTGCTGCACTGTGGCTCCACCGAATAAAAGGATTGGGGATGACTAAGCCACTGACACCGGTCCTCGGGTACTGGTTCTCTTTGCATGACTATGAATAGTCATAGAAACGTTGGACAAGATAACTCAGCCAATTTTTGAGTCTCCCATGACTCAAAGTTCTAGTGAATCTACCTAAGATCCATGCTTGTTGTTTTGTAAAATAATGTGATTTCCTTCCTTGTAGATGCGTAACCAATTTACGTCCAATGCACTTTTTAGAGTAGAGCTCCTTGTGCAAGAATTCGATAATACAAGTACTGCCACCTCACCAAGCAGTATCGTAAGCTTTATTGGGTAACGGTTTTGAAGGGTAAAGGTGCTGGTAAAATTACAGGTACATGAGACTTGTTAACTTACGTACCAGGGTGACGGGCACAGTGGGATTGTCCCTCAGTAGGGCTAGCACGATCTAAAGTGCGAAAAAAAAATATTAACCTGGTATAAAAATACACGTAAAAATATACGTTTAGTTTGTTGTGGAAACATAATCTTTATTTAGTTTAATGCTTGTATTTATAGAACTAGTCCTTTTAGTTAACATTCAGTTATTTTTTGGTATAATGTAGTAAGCAAATAGAGTGCATTGGTTTTGTTAGTACTCGATGGAGTTAGTTTTATGAAATTTCTAAATCGCGCTTTAAAAAAAAAAAAAAAAAAATAGTAAGATTTTCCCTGCCTCGTATATACTTATAGGTGAAATGTTTTGTTAGTTTTCATACTCAATTGACAATATAAAACTACGAGTCTGAACTATCAGTGGAGCGTAAGGATTTTAGAACCCAAGGGTACAATAGGATACATACGAGTAGGTCGCCACAGGACAGGCTTAGCCTAGTGTGGGACCACCTGTAATGAATCACAATGTTTTCAGACATGGCATCACGTTAACAATGCATGTTTTTGTTAATGTTTAACACACACTTAATGTTCATTTAGCATAAGTATCATGTTCTTGTCTTAAAAATGAAAATATGTAAAGTATTTTGTTTTTCTGTGTGTTTGTGATGCCAATAAACATATTCTTATTCTTATTCTTAGGTACATAGATAGGGATTCTTAGTCGAGTGGTGTTAATGTATAAAATAAGTTTCGACAACATAATTATAGAATTAAAAAATAAAACTAGTCTTAAACTAACCAAGAGTTAAGTAATTACTTCACTACAAAGGGACAAAGACCGTTTAATTTATTATCACTAATATTTATTAATTTTTTTGTAACAACTACATTTATATGCAAAAATTAGAAAAAAATATACAATTTTTGTAACATTTGACCTCCAATTCACGTGATGGTAAGTGACGTTGAGGTTGAATGTGGAGCACGCACATGACTAGGCACGCTTGTCAATTAAACTGCCTCAGTGGCCGAACGGTTACCATGCTGAACTGCCACGCAGAGGTCTCAGGTTCGATTCCCGGGCCGGGACAAATATTTGTATAGTCTACATTTATTTCTCTCGTGAGTTTTTATGTAATTTGTGGTTGTTTATGTGTGTGTCCAGACACCCGCGACACGCGACAGTTATGCAAAAAACTATATTGTGTGAGTGCGTTAAAAAAAACATTCAAGGTGGCCAGTTGGCATTTAGTAGAACCATCCCATAGATGGCAGCAGTATCTACTGCTTACATGTCCGGACTTATTTTTTAAAGCTACTGTCTCAGTGTAAAGTAACGAAATTACTACATTTTAAATGATAATTTAAATAAAATTCAAATAATACAGATAAAAACATAATAAACAACAGTAAATAAGTAAATAAAACAATAGACAACCGTGATCATGGAACCTGTAAAGGACCCGAAACGTCGGTTTGTTTGAAAAAACAAATATACGCGATTTAAATCCGGAAAAATAGTTTCATTTCCTATGTGTAACAATCACGAAAACCTAAGAACTCGATATAATAAACAATACTTACACGTAAGTAAGGGACGATGTCTTACAAATTTTCTATTTGCAAATTATTTACTCTGGTCAGGAGATCGTCGCCTTATTTAGAGTAATTTAAAAATGTATTGAAACAATGAATTTCATTATCCCAATTTTAACACTTTTTAAATTGTTTTCCAATATCTTATCTTAAGCTGGAAATAAACTTGCTTATGATCGTAAAATTTATTTAAAAATCGGTGTACGTAGTGTAAGGCTACTAAATTATTTAGAAAAAGCAAAAATTACGTGAAAATAAAATACATAATAATATATAAATTATTGTAGGTTTGTCTGCATTATGAAAATTGTGTATGCAACAAAGCCGATCATAATATTAAAAAAATCTTAAATCTGTATATCACGAAGAAATAGATGTTTTAATTTAAAAAATATACCCTTGTTTTGATTATAAATTGTTTCCTATTTTACTTGTTATAGTAGCCATAGAAGAGGGGATCGTTATGACATTTTAGACACCATGCCGCAGATACCTGATTTCATCCGAATGAACCCGTTTGGTGTGAGCACTGTTTCTTGAATATATGTCAGTCTGTTTTATCTTTAGAAATATATTTCCGTTTACCTATTGTATTCTAAATTTAAACTTGAACTTTGTTTTTGAAACCCTGAGAAAGAAAATTGCTTTGATATGATATAGCTAGTGTCAATGGCGTCCATTCTACAATTTTAATGCATTGCGTAATTTTCGTCTTGACCGACATTATGCAAAAAATGGGACGCATACGATACGTGACGTATTACAATCAATGACATTATACTGCTCTAAATTGTATGACGCGTATTCTTAAGATAAATCATTATTTAAAATTTGCAATTTTCTATAACACAAATTGTGACTATAAAAAAGTTCTAAATATATATGAACATGTTTTCAAAGTGACACAGAACACAAAAACATAGAACATAAAAAAATAACATAATCTTGCTAGTTATACATGTAAACATGGACCTATTAATAGACGGAACACCAATGGATCCTGTTGTCTGAAAAGAAATATTTTGAATTGAAACGAATTAATAAAAAATTTGATTAAGGTAGGGGTGAAAAAGATAAACCGTTCATTTTATTCAAAAATCACGAATGCTCAGCGGTCCAGCGCAGCCACGTGATAAGGTGATAAAGTAGGTACAAATTAAACAGTGCCGGCTACCAGCTGATAGCCACCAGTCAAGCTATATCCACAGCAGCAACCGCGCGCGCGCAAAACGAAGTCGCACGCGCAGCCGATCGCTTGCCCGCACCACGCTTGAGCAATCGAATGTTCAACCCCGTGATAAAAGCAATAAATTTACAAATACAGTGTTTCCTTCAAAAGTTACATGCGTGCAAATGACAAAATATGTTAGTATTAAATAAATAAAATAAAATAAAAAATGTTACAAAACAAATGAACCATAAAGTGAATATCCGTTGCCACAATGACGTTACGGGTGGACGCGCTCGGAGAAAAAGTGTTGAATGTGGAACCATGCAAGTGCACCAAACTAGAATTGAAGAAGACGGAGATGAAACTGAGCAAAAGACTAAAAGAATTTCTAAAATCATTTTGGGAGGTTAGATCGAAAGTTACAGTTGAACCATTTGTCATATGTTACATTCTTCCGAGCGTTCTTGCCGGATTAGCAGTACAGAATCTGTGCTTAGAGAAAGCATGTCTCGTCAATCTTGGATACGACGAAAGTACTTGCAGACGTATAATGCAGGGACGTAACGAGAATCATACGGCTGAAGAGCAAAATGTGCAAGCGTTAGTGACGGGTATGACTGCGTGGAGTTTTCCTCTGCAAACAGCGCTTCCTGGAATCCTAGCCTTATTCATTGGTGCTTGGAGTGACCGCACCGGGAACAGGAAAACCTTTATGGTATTACCCATACTTGGGAAACTAATCTCGGTGATCGGGATAATATTGAGCACCATTTTCTTCCTTCAGGTGGGAATGAACGAGACTGCAGTCTTAGAGGGTCTCCCACCTGCCTTGGCCGGTGGGCGTGTAGCCATGACCATGGCCGTATATAGTTACGTCACAGACATTACAAGTGACGCCGAACGGACTTTTCGAATAGGGATTATCACCGCGATACTGACTCTTAGCAGACCTGTAGGGCTTGCTCTTAGTGGAATAATGACAAAGCGCGTAGGTTATAACAATGTTTTCATGATAGCGTGTGTGTTCTATTTAACCGGATTCATATACATTGTTGTGAGATTAAAAGAGAAGACAAAGAAAACAGTGGATGGTGAGAAAATGCATACGATATTCTCCATGTTTTCTATAAAGGACTTGGTTGCTACGGTGAAAGTGGCCTTCAAGTCCCGGCAGGGGTCGCGGCGTCTGCAGTTGCTTTTAATCTTGTTTGCGTACATGCTAATGGTGGGCCCTGTTTTAGGTAAATATGCAAATTTTTATTTATTTCTTTTTATAAATTATTATATTATTAATACCTACGTTCTACACTAACATATAATTTTGGAGTTGATGATGGTAAACCTGTGTAAATTATTCCCATACACATACCTATTAAATAGGCATATCCAAATACCGATTAACCTGTTATCAATAAAAAGATTAATAAGCCGTTTTATTGCCATAACATTTCGTTTTGGGTCACTTTAGGTCACGTTTTCGGAGCACTACAGCGTCTTACCTGTTATGGTTTCTATTTACGTTGTATCGGTTGCATTTAGCACAAAAAATACAGAAAGGTCATGCATGTCACGGGATATTGAGTCTTAAAACATTACATGAAATATACTTTATATGTACAGAATTGTAGATCGGTATTTTATTATCATTTTATGGGCGTCAATTTCCTTTTACTTTCGTTTCGATTACAAACCTCACTCTACATTAAAGTTGCCGAAATCCACTCAAGCTATTCTTGCAAATGTTGTTGTTTAGTTTTTTTAAAACCTTGTGCGAATCGGTTTTATATAAAGAGCCGTTGTGAGGTCAGTGAACTTGTCTGTGAATTTTTCTTAACATCAGAAGTTTTACGAATGTCTCCCTTAGGAGCTCATACGTGATTGGATTTGTTCAAAATTAGTTGGGTAATATAATCATATTAACCTATCAATAATACAATAATATCTGCTCAGTCAGAAACTTATCAATTACGGCATTTATAAGATATCTTTGCATGTCCGTCTACATTTCTGTAATAACTTGTGGATAGAGTCTCCTCTGAAAAGTAAAATAAAAATATAAAGGTTATTTTAACTGTTATATGTTTTAAAAATCGATTTTTAAATATTACACTACAATAAACTACAAATACATTTTACTGAACACAATGACAAAATATAGCGATAAACAAGGCACGACAGGCGGCCTTAATGTTATGTATCCATCTCTTCCAAGTAACTTTAGAGATATCTCATAAACAGTGGTCGTAATAAGGCGTTCCAAATATATAGATAAATGTCTATATATAGATACAAGGAGTGACATAGAGTTGTTAAAACCAACAAATATTAATAAATACTTTCTTCGAATTTCGGATTTCAGAAATAGTTTTACTGCGTCGTAAGATAACTACTCACAAAAAATTAAGATGGATTTTAAAGTAATTCTAGTAGCACCATGTAAAAATATGTAGTAGATAACTAGCTACTTAACATCAAAGTAAAAATATTTTTTTTGAGCTACAAGTACAAGCTTGTTTTAACCAATGCGGATATTGTTAGTGCGGATAATTTTATATTCACCCATGATATATTTTGTATTGTAAATAGTTTTATTCAACGATGCATTAAGTCTATTTCCGGAATTCTAAAAAGTAATTAATTAATATTTGATGGTTTAACCAGTCCATGTCACTCCTTGTATCTATATGTATACTCTAGTAAAATTCGATGTAGTAATAACATATAAGTTTTAGGGTTTTCACTTCGGTCTGTTCTACGGTTACCATAATTTCGGTATTTTATTACTCATTATTCACTCACTACGATAAAATTCATATCTATGACGAATTTTGTTCAATAGAACATAAAAGTTACCAATAATTAGTTATTTATAATCTCATAAATCATCATAAATCCCGAATGACTTTTTCATTTGAAGGGAGAGATTGCAAACGTTTGACTAGTAAGGGATTGATAGGATATTTTGATGATGATGGGATTTTGATTTTATTGAGGGATATGAGTCAGGTAACCTATGTTTCCGCTGAGGTATAAATACATAGTGCTTTCCTCAAACAATGCGAGGAAATAATAAATGACTAAATAATGAAGGCGAATGTATAATAGGCAAAGTGAAACAAGTTTACCATGACTAATTTTGTGTCTTGTTTTATATTGCACTATTGTATTTTTGCTGTTTTCGTTATAACGCATTTAGGCGAAGAAAATATAAAAAATCCAAAAAATTGAATTTTTTTTTATTATTTTTTATTTTTTCTACTTCAAAATACTTTATTTTACCTTATTTATTTCACCGCCATTTTTTAAGTATCTAGTGCCGGTATGTTCGTACGCAAAAAAAATTATACCATAAACAATTTTTTTTTAATTCTCGCAATTACGGACACTGCTGTAAATTAAATTTGTGCTTATGCTCTTTTACTCTTACAATTATCATTAAATAATTGTTCTTTTAAACATTTAAAAAAATATAACCATATGTTAAAGATATACAGTTAAGTTGGACAAGGAGTTTGAAGTATAAGGTTTTTTCATTACATTTGCTCGTAAACAGTGTCATAATGCAGGCAAAGTTGACCGTAATGTCCTAAATTATGCCCACGGGCTGTTTCATTACGTTATCGCCCTATGGAGTTTTTACGTCAAAATGCAAAAAGCTTTTATGTTCGAAAAATCTGAACGTATATTTCGCATAAACTTGAAGTATGAAAAAAACTATACATCTGTAAATTTAACTATATTTTAAGTACTAAATTTGTTTTGTGAAATCAAATTCTGCACTATTTTAAGAATTTGGAAATTATTTAGTTTATGTCTAATAAATGGTGGCTGCATGCATTTGTGCCTTTTATAACATTTTACTTAGAGTTGTATTCTCTACGGAAGAATAGCTGGCATTGTTTAAAAAATAAAACATTTGTAAAATCCACAAATGTTGTATTGTGAAGCGATATTTTTAATCAATAAAAGAAATAAATTATCGTTGTATCTATTTCATGAAAAACATCGTATGTTGCACGGGCGGTAGAAATTACAAACCTCCAATCATTAAAAACTCTCGTTATAATGTAACAACTCTCGTTAGTAATTTCTTATTTACCGTCCTTAATACACAATTTTCTATTATGTTTTCATATGATTATGCAACTTGAAATAAAAAATAAAGTGGTGAAACAGCCTCACATTCAATAAAAACTTAAGTAATGTTTGTAAGTTTTGATATAATCAGGAAACTTTTTAGGTACGGAAATTTAAACAACTTTCAATAAATAATTAGTTTGCAAGTTTTCATAAAACGAAGAATAAAGAAGTAATTCATAAGAAAGGGTTTTCATCATAATTGCTACAAGCTGGTATACGATCACAGTAAAGCTGCAATCTATAACACACCCACAGGATCTAATGTATGACATTCAACATTACTTGTCACTAGAAACCACACGTGATACAAAAACATCTATTGTTAATTTATTAACTTATATAAATAACTTGTAACTTAAATTCTTTAAAGCAGATGGTTTGTTTTCTTAAACTCATCTCAACAGAGGTTGTTATGATAAATTATATGTAATCGTAAATACTGTTATAGTTTGCTACATATTTATTTTTCAAACATGCTCGGAGATGTTTGCATTATTTCAAAAAACCTACAAAATATCCTGAAGCGTGCAACTCTTTGCCGGCCTAGGCCGACAATATAAGTATGGAAAATCCATTACTGTCCACTTTCCATGGTATAGCAATGATATCCACTAACTGAGAGCTATGCGAACAGACTAAAAAAAGACTGTCGTACGGTTGGGTGCACAAATTATGTTGTATTCAAATTGCGTGATCATATCAAAACTTTCAAACTCTATTTCAAACCCTATGCTCAGCTTGACTGTATCTCTTTAAAATACGTTTATGTTTGTTAAAAATGCTGAAAAGAACAACTTAGTTAATGATGAAAAAGATCTGTTAAAAGAGTTAATGATGAAAGAACGTGAGTACAGCACGCAAATTTGTTGTTAAAAAAATTTTGTTTGACACACAACAGTTCTTTCAAAAAGTTGTGAAAGTAATATTGCGTTATTTCAGCCTTATGCTGTAACTTTACGACTTAATTGTAATTGTAAAAGTGTAGGAAGTGAAACCATTTTTGCGGATTTAAATCGCGTATATTGGTTTTTTCAAACAAATCACCGTCACGGGCCCTTTACAGGTCCCATGGTCACGGTTGACTGAGGTGTTATGAATAAACCTACTCATTCAATCATGTTTGACAAACCCCTGGTACTTGCAAAAGAAGTCCGTTATCTACCCAGGATGCTGCGAGTGGCTATTGAAATTAAAAAACATCCTAATTTCAGCAGGGAAGATGGTTTCTCCGTACCACCAGTTTGCGATCCAGTATTTCCTTTGATGTAAAATCCCAAACAAACATAGACTGCAGTACTAATTAATAACTTATACTTTATTCTACATTCCTTTATTAATTGATAATAAATTGAATTTAATAAAAAATTATATTGTTAAAATAAAATAATGGTAAAACATATGTAGTATAAATTAAAAATAAGACATTTAATTAATAACTTTTGTAGCTATAATGAAAAATAAGGTGGTTTGCGTTAATATTAGACATAACTGGTTGACGACTTTACAATCTCATTCAACCGTGACCATGGGACCTGTAAGGGGCCCGAAACATTGGTTTGTTTGAAAAAACAAATATACGCGATTTAAAACCGGAAAAATAGTTTCACATCCTATGTGTCGCGAACAATCGCGAAAACCTAAAAACTCGATATTTACGAGTTATTATTTACGAAACTGTAATTTAAAATACATATCAGTGTTATTTATGAAAAGCATAAAATATTCAATACCCAATTACTTAACACTAAATAAAGTAATTATATACATAATTATATTATAATGCTATTCTTCGTCGCACTCACCATATAAGTTTAATGTAAGACATATAGGCATTACTTCAATGATGTAAGGTATAGAAATATATACCTTACATTATATTGACCTTTGTAAAAAAAAGCTGAACCAAAGCGGAATGTTTTATACATCAACAGCACTATCCGACATAGCAAATAAAAAAGTTATTTATAACCAAATATATTGTTTAAAATGCCAATGCAAATCACATAACACTTATCAGACATATTTGTTCCAAATCTGTCTACTCGTTTAATAATAAACAATTTCTAAAAACTATTAAGTACTTGCAAATTCATGTGTGTAA